CAGAATATTTTCAGCTTTGTGGGCCAAATCATTTCTATCACAACTATCCAACTTGGTCAGTGTAGGGCAACAGTAGCTACAAGCAATAGGAAAACAAAATGATGTGACCAGATTAGGCTCCGGTCTAGTTGCTTATCTCTGTTCCAGAGTTTTCCAAGTATACTATTGGTCATTTGCAAATAGAAATAATTTAAAAATATTTTTATCTCTACTAATTTCTCGTTTTATTGGACTGCAGCATATTCCAGTCAAATGTTGAATAGTACTGGGTATCCTTGCCCTGTTCCTGATCGTAGTGGTGAAAACGTCCCCAGTGTTTCCCATTAAGTAACATATTAAGAAAATATCTATTAATTCCTATTTTGTTAAATTTTTTATTAAGTATTGAGTTTTGCTGAAGGTCATTTTAGCATCTATATATGATTTGTCTCATATTTATTAATATGAGGGCCGAATATTGAACTAACCTTGTGTTCTTAAAATAAATCTCACATGGTCATGATATATTATTTTCTTAATATGGCATTGGAATTTGTTAGCTAATATTTGCTTAGTACTTTGCAGCAGTATAATTGATATTAGTGTGTAATTTCTTTTTTGTATTGCCTTTAGGAATTGTTATTATCCATTTTCAGTACTCTGAAACAATTTATAGAGTATTAAGACTATCAGGTGGTTTTTTATAGAGTAGTTTGTTCACATGTTTCTCATTTCTTGTATAGAAGTTAGACTCTTTCAAATGTGGGTAATTTTTATAAACTATATTTGCCTCGGAAATATCATTTTCATCTACATTTTCAATTTTTTTGCAAAGAGGTTTGCTAAGTAGGGTCTTATGTCTTTATAAATTGAAATATAACTCACATATCATAAAATTCACTTATTTTACAGTTTATGATGGAACTGTATCCCCCCCTCCCAAGTTCATATGCTGAAGTTCTAAACCCCAGTACCTCAGAATGAGACTGTATTTAGAGACAAGGTCTTTAAAGAAGTAAAGTGAACCTGCCCAGTGTGGCTCAGTTGGTTGACTGCCATTTGTGCACTGAAAGGTCATCAGTTTGATTCCTGGTCAGGGCACGTGCCAGGTTTCGGGCTCCATCCCTGGTCAGGGAGAGCATGAGGCAGCCAATCTATGTTTCTCTCTTCCTCAATCCCTAAAAATAAATAAAAACATATTTTTTAAAAAGTAATTAAGGTAAAATGAAGACATTTGGATGGGCCTGATTATGACTGGTGTCCTTATTAAGAAGAGATTAAACATAGACAACACACAAACCAAAGGATAACTATGAAAGAATACAGGGAGAATACGGCCATCTACAGCCTCAAGAAGAGAGGCTTCAGAATGAAATCAACTCATTCCCAATTCCTGCTTTCCTTAGTCATTGACAACTACTATTTTATAGCTCTATGGATTTGTTTATTCTGCATACTTTATATAAATAAAATCATATAATATGTGATTTTTTTGTTTCTTTAATTTAGCATGATGTTTTCAGGGTTCATCTATGTTGTTCTATGTAGTTGAATTACAATCCTTCTTATGGATGAATAATAATCCATTGAATAGCACATTTTACTCATTCATGCATTTGATAGACATTTAGGTTGTTTTCACATTTTGGCTATTATGAATAATGATTCTATGATCATTCACGTACAGGATTTTATGCGGCATTGTTTTCAAATTTTTTAAACTATTTTTATTGATTTTTAGAGAGTGAAAGGGAGAAGGGGAGAGAGAAACATCAATGTGTAAAGCTGATTTCTGCCTCCTGCACACCCCCTACCAGGGATCCAGCCCAAAACCTAGGCACATGCCCTGACCGGGAGTTGAACCAGAAACCCTTTGGTACATGGGACAACGCCCAAGCAACTGAGCCACACCAGCCAGGGCTGTTTTCTATTCTTTTTGGTATATACCTAAGAATGAAATTGCTGAGTCATATGGTGACAATATCTAACTTTTGGAAGAACTACCAAATTATTTTCCAAAGCAACTGCATCATATTAGATTCCCACCAGCAATGTGTGAGGGTTCTAATTTTCCACTTGTTTTTTAAAATTGATTTCAGAGTGAGAAAGGGCGTGGGGGGGGGGGAAGAGAGAGAGAGAGAGAGAGAGAGAGAGAGAGAGAGAGAGAGAGAGAAAACATCCATCAGTTGCCTCCCAAAGGCACTTGACTGGGGATCAAAGCCACAACCTGGGCATGTGCTTTGACTGGGAATTGAACCTGCCACTTTTCACTGTACAGAATGATGCTCCAACCATCTGAGCCAAACTGGACCAGGGCCAGTCGTCTTTTGATATAGCCACCCTATTATGTGTGAAGTAGCATCTCATTGTGATTTTTTTTTCTCATTGTGATTTTGATTTGCATTTCCCTAGTGACTGATGGTATTGAGCATCTTTTTTTTTTTTAACCATACTTCAATTTATTGGCATTGTCAACCTATTAAGACAGGTATTTTCCCACCCATGATATGAGATTGTTTTCAAGCTTCCATAACACGTGTACACATCTTCACCTTGAAAATGAAGCATTTCAAGCTTTAGTCAGTGTAGATTATTCTTCACTTGCAGAATTTTTATGCTGCTGTCAGAGGTCTTCTTGGCTTTGAATTCCATTTTTAGTACATCGTGGTGATTTGATATTCATATACATTGTGAACCACTCTGTGTATCTTTTTGTTGCCTTATTGCATTAGCAAGAAGTTCCATGGCAATGTTGAAAAGGACTGGTAAGAGGAGAAAACCTTGCCTTCTAACGGATAGGAAAGCTTCAAGTTTATCATCATTAAGTATCACATTAGCTGGAGGTTTTTGTAGTCTTTATCAAGTTCCCCTAGAGAATGTTCCCTCTATTCCTAATTAGCTGAGAGTTTCTCTCATGAATGTGTGATTAGGCCTGTCTCTGAGTGAGCCAAAGCCTCAGGACTATGATCTTCACAAGAGTTTTCCAGTTTTGTTTTTTTCCCCCTATTAGTTTAGGTGAAACAAAACGGCTAGAGTTGGATGGAGCTGGGTATTTCCTTCTATATGGAAGGCTAGAACTGGTTAGAGTTGGGTATTTCTCTTCTGCAGACTCTGATAAAACCTCAGCAGGTTAGTTTCTGGTTAACTAGTTTTCCCTGAAGGCAGGGTTTGTTAGAACAACAGAGTGCTCAGATGTATTTCAAAATGGTTCCTTTTCCCTTCCCCTGCTGAAGTCCAATGGGATTTTTCTGTAATATTTACTGTGAGAAAATATTGGTGGAGCCCTTGGAGGTGAATCTCACAATATTGTGTGGTCCCCCTATGACTGGGTCTCCCTGGAGTTCTGAACTGAGTTGTCCACATCGAGTCTCCAGCAATTCATCAATTATCGATCAGGTTTTCCTACTCGGGCATTGTTTCCTGTATTGGTTTCTGCTCTTGAACCTCTGCTCCTGTGAGCAGCAACTCCCTGTATGTCTCCATTTTGGAGGTTAGTAATTTGCCTTATATCCTACCCTCTCTTATGGTGCCATGTAGAGTTGTTGATTTTTCAGTCTGTTCAGCTTTTCACTTGTTAGGATGGAATGGAGGCTTCCAAGCTCCTTACATGTAAAACCAGAAACTAGGTTTTTAACAAGAATATATGACCCATTCTTAAGGACTGAGGACAGTATAATTTGCTTTTCCATACATAAAGGTAATTTACTCATTCATCTGTTTGAATTGATGGGAAGCCAAACTCAAAATATTTTTTAAAACTTCAGGCAAAAAGAGATTCTCTTTCTGTTACTGTAAAAGTTACAATGTAATTTTAATAGTTTTTAATAGTTGTGTCTGTATTTTAAAAATGTACTTTACATTCTATTCTTCTGAAAAGTATGGTTCTTTTTCATCTACCTTATATTAATTTTTGTTCATTTCTTTTCCACTATACATTATTTTATTGCATAAAATAAATTAGGAAAATTGCAGATAGTCTGTGCCAGTTTTGTGGTGAAAAAAGGAAAAAAATTCCACATGTAGTTCTGCCAGAAAGAAAACAAGTCTTCTAAATAGGATGAAAAAATGTCTATTCAATATCTAAGAGTTGCTTTTCTCTCATTTTGGTTAATTTATTTATTTTTGCTTTTTCTTTTTAAAATTTGTTTCTTTTTGTTTATTTATTTATTTTTTAAATATATTTTATTGATTTTTTACAGAGAGGTAGGGAGAGGGATAGAGAGTTAGAAACATCGATGAGAGAGAAACATCGATCAGCTGCCTCCTGCACACTTCCTACTGGGGATGTGCCCGCAACCAAGGTACATGCCCTTGACTGGAATCGAACCTGGGACCCTTGAGTCCGCAGGCTGACGCTCTATCCACTGAGCCAAACCGGTTAGGGCTGTTTATTTTTTTTTTCGTTTTGGTTGATTTAGAAGCAAAGTGTTGTAGTATATAGTTCTTTCCATACATTTTTCAATATAGAGAATAAATGCTAATAAATAGAATATATAGAATAAATAGTTTCTATGTGGTTTTCTTCCAAGTATAGGTAAGACTAAACACTAACAGTTTTTATTTTTGGACATTATCAAGAAGAATTATTAAAATTTAACTTTAAATTCTTTAACCAAACATTTTAGGTATAAATTTTCATCTACCCAATTAACTTTTTAATGCTATAATTTGGTTGATGTCATATTTATTCAGATTTTAAAATATTATAAAGCTTATTAAAATCCTGATATACAATATTACCAAAAATTGTATTTTAGAAGTACTTTAGCTATCTGTTTTACTATGACTAGTAGCACAACTGATGTACCAGGAAAATATTTGGTTATCAACCCAAGGAAGTAAAATCTAACACAAAACAGTTACATCAATATATTTATAAAACTGTTAAAATACATAAACAAAGCCCGGCTGCTGTGGCTCATAGGCTGAGCATCGACCTATGAACCAGGAGGTCACGGTTCAATTCCCAGGTTGCAGGTTCAATCCTCAGTAGGGAGCATGCAGGAGACAGCCAATCAATGATTCTCTTTCATCATTGATGTTTCTATCTCTCCCTCTCCATTCCTCTCTGAAATCAATAAAAATATATTTTTAAAAAATAAAAGAAATAAAAGCCATGAGGGAAACAAATATTCATTATAACTATGTATCATATTTTCATTCCTATTCTAGCACCCTAATATCTAAACATATTAAAAACTTTCAATTCAAGTTACTATTTGAGATAAAGTTCATACGATTAAAAAATACCTTAATAAATGGACTTGAAAACAATGAAATAATCACTTTTGAGAAAAGCCTTCCCACAAATTTAGGCATAATTAACTATATACAAACAAAAAATGAATTGAATTAATATCCTATAAAATTGAATTAAAATAGAACGTTTTAAAGTGCACAATTCTTAGCTTGGAAGAGACAAATATTCAAACCACAACAAAATCAACAACCAGCAACAACATGTTTACGTGCTGTGCTAACGCTAAGAATTACAAACATTAAACATAAATGAAACATTTAAAGCATGTCACCATTCTTATATCATTTATGATGACATAATAGGTAAAATGTAGGATTCCTTTTTTTTGTCCATTGTAGAAATGGCCAACTTGCTGTCAAGAGTGGCTAAGGTTCCATGGTGAAAAACTTACACTGAACCATAGGATAGCAAACAGGGTTATTTAAGAAACTAAGTAGTATGTATGTGTATAGTTTTGTTTAAATTATTATGATATACAAAGTATTGATGAGGTGTTTTTAAATAACTGAAGTATATTCAATGGCTCTAGCAAACTTCTGAGAAAGGAACACAAGAATAGTGGGGGAAAAAGAAGTTAAACTAAGTCTGAGGCAAGCTGCTAGTATAATATCAAGTGTATAATGCAAAGCCAGTAAAATTTATTTGGGATCCTGGAGAAAATAGTTACCATTCCTATAATTGAATAGGTAGGTGACAGAAATGCAGAACAGTATTAATAATACATGAGTAAGATTAAAAATATTATTAAAATAATATTTAGTTTTCTGCATAGTTTATAGTTCTGAATAGTTTAGTTTTCAAAATTTAAAATAATCAAGTAATAAATCCAATATAAATCTGAAAATTCAGTATATGACAAAGGTAGCTTTTCTAATCACAAATAACAAATTAAGAAATGTCACTGTCACAACTGGCTCTTCATTGAGAAGAAAACAAATTGGATCCGATTATTGTATTCCACATATAAAAATTAATTTGAGCCGAAACCGGTTTGGCTCAGTGGATAGAGCGTTGGCCTGCTGAAAGGTCCCAGGTTCGATTCCGGTCAAGGGCATGTACCTGGGTTGTGGGCACATCCCCAGTGAGAGATGTGCAGGAGGAGCGGATCGATGTTTCTCTCTCATCGATGTTTCTAACTCTCTATCTCTCTCCCTTCCTCTCTGTAAAAAATCAATAAAATATATTTTAAAAAAAATTAATTTGAGTTTAATTTTTACAATCCAGGAATAGGTAAGACTTTTTAAGCTAAGCTAGAAACCCAAAAGTGATAAAAGAAATCGTAGACACATTTTATTATATGAATGTACCTGTGGCAAAAGATATTAAATGACAAGTCAACAGACAAATGAGAGTTAAAAAACTGTGGCAATATTACAAATTGAAAAAAAAGGATAATCAACCAATATAAATAGGTATTTAAAGTACTTTTGATTGAAAAAATATAATACGCATGTTGAAATTTGATGCTGTTTTATAAAATAAATGGTAAGAGATAATCTATATATATATAAAACCCTAATATGCAAATAGTCCGAACAGTGGAACAACAGAACTGGTTGCTATGATGTGCGCTGACCACCAGGGGGGCGCGTGCAGAACATGGTGGGCGTCAGCAGTAGGCAGTAGAGTGCAGAACATGGTGGGCAGCGGTCACTGCGGGATGGTGGAACAGGTGAGCAGGGGTGCCAGACCAAGGTGGGGCACCGGTCGTTGTCATTGGGGCGAGCCTCTGGTGGTTACTGAAAATTCTTTGCTCCCTCGCACCGAGGTCCCGCCCAGCACTCGCATCCACTGCCAGCGCCTGGCCCTGGGCCCAATCTCTCAGTGGGTGTGAGTGGTGGCTGCCAGCCCTGATCTCCCCTGAGGGCTTCTCCACCTCCCCCTGCTCCTGAGGGCGATTGGGGCCAGCAGCCGCCTCTTGCACCCACTGCTGGCAACTGCCCTGCTCTTACCTGCTGCTCATACCCACTGCCAGCGCCAGCCCCACTCGCAACCACAGCCGGCACCAGAGCCACCTCTCGCACCCGCTGCTAGCACCCAGCGCTGGTCCCAATTGTTTGGCACTGTCAGTGGGTGTGAGCGGTGGCTGCTGGCCCAATTGCCCCTGAGGACTTCTCCACCTCCCCCTGCTCCTGAGGGGCAATCAGAGCAGCAGCCGCTACTTGCACTTGCTGCTTGCACCAGCCCCAATCGCTCAGTGCCATCAGTGGGTGCGAGCGGGTCTGGTGCCTCAGTACATGGAAGCAGTGGTGGCAGGAGTGGGGCTGCTGGCAGAGAGGAGATTGGGGGCCACGGCGGGAGGCGCTGGGTGGGGGCACGGAAGATAGGCCGACCTGCCCCTGTGCCCACTGTAGCCTCACAGCCCACAGTCCCTGTCAAGGTGCACAAATTTGTGCACTGGGCCTCTAGTCCTCTATCATAAAAAGCTAATATGCTAATTAGACCGAACAGCAGAATGACCATTGGACAACTGTCCGGATGCCCTTCCGGATGAAGCCAGGGCTGCAAGGGCCAAGCCCCTTGCACCAATTTTGTCCATCGGGCCTCTAGTTTATATATGTGTGTGTGGGTGTGGGGGATATATATATATATATATATATGTATATGAGTACCTCTGTGTGCATATGTGTTTGTGATATAACTATTCTTTTAAGAATGTATGACCATGCAGCCCTAGCCGGTGTGGTTCCGTGGATACAGTGTTGGCCTGCGGACTGAAAGGTCCCAGGTTCAATTCTGGTCAAGGGCACATTCCCAGGTTGCGGGCTCCATCACCAGCAGGGGGTGTGCAAGAGGCAGCCAATCATTGATTCCCTCTCATTATTGATGTTTCTATTTCTCTCTCCCTCTCCCTTCCTCTCTGAAATCAATACAAATATATTTTGTAAAAAAAGAATGTATGACCTTGCAGAAAAAAATGCAGAAGTATGCTCACTAATTTTGCAAGAATGTTGTGAATAGAGACAAGACAGCCAAATCTAAAAGGAAAAGATAAGGTTGGGAAATGGGAGATAAAGAAAAAAAGTGAAAGAAAAGGACATACTAAAACTAGAGGCACGGTGCACAGATTTGTGCACTGGTGGTGTCCCTTGGCCTGGCCTGTGGGGATCAGGCCGAAACTGGCTCTCTGACATCCCCCGAGGGGTCCCAGATTGCGAGAGGGTGCAGGCCAGGCCAAGGGACCCCACCGGTGCACGATCAGGGCTGGGGAGGGACCGTGGGAAGGCTCCAGGGCATGTCTGGCCCGTCTTGCCCAGTCCCGATTGGGGCTGTCTTGCCCAGTCCTGCTAGGGGCCAATTGGGGCCAGCCGGCTGGGGAGGGGCCGCAGGAGGGCTACAGTACATGTCTGGTCAGTCTTGCCCAGTCCTGATCAGGGCTGGGGAGGGACCGCAGGAGGGCTCCAGGATGTGTCTGGCCCATCTTGCCCAGTCCCAATCAGCTGGACCCCAGCAGCAAGCTAACCTTCCAGTCGGAGTGTCTGCCCCTTGGTGGTCAGTGCGTCTCGTAGTGACTGGTTGAACGGTTGGACACTTAGCATATTGGGCTTTTATTATATAGGATAGCTAGTATATACGATGCAATCAACATATACATTGTTATAAAGTTGTACACATATGTGGACATGAAAAATATTTAAAATAAAAACGGGGCTGTAATCAAACTTGCCAAAGGAAACACCCAAAAACTTCATATCAGTAGTTGGATGCTCTTCTGCTTGTATTGTCATAATATGTAGTCTTAAGTGGCCATGGAGGCTGAGCATAGTCCTGAATTATTATGATTCTGAAATTGTGTGTTTGAGTTTAGCTTGACTGTATTATTAAAGGAACAGGGAAAACCTCCCTCCTGGGAGCATACCCTCACCTTTGTTTTCTTCCTCCTCCTTTCCCCAGGTGCATTACCATTAGCTTCCTCACTATGCACTCCAAAGCTCCAAGGGCCCTTCCTTTACCTCTACAATTGTTTCCTAAGCCTATTTCTTCTATGAATTACTTCCTCTACCTCTGCGATTTCCAAATAAATATTCTCTTATTGGAAAAAAAAAAAAAGGAACAGGGGCCAGTTCAATACTTGAGAAGATGTTTAAGGGACTTATGTAATATTAAATAATAAATACTACATATTAAAGTTACCTATAACTAAATAGTAGATCCTCAAGTTGGTTGACGCTCCCTTCTCCAGGGATCAATGAGATTCCTATATGAGAAAAAAAAAATTGGCATCCTTATAAGCACTCTTCCTATAAGCACTCTCCTTTCATCCCAGGTATTACCTCCTGTTCCTTCAAAGTTTAATAAATAACCAACATTCAAACACAAATTTGATTTACAAAAAGCAAATATAACCATACCTTTTCAAGATCACACCATTTACACAAAGTAAAGAATGTCTATAAGATTGCCCCTGCCAAAGAGAGGCTTCTTAGACAGTTAGGATGAGAGTTGATAAAAAGTGGGGAAGTCCTGGCCAGTATGGCTCAGTTGATTGGGTGTCATCCTGTGCTCCAAAAGGTTGCTGGTTGGATTCCGGGTCAGGGCACATGCCCCAGTTGTGGCCCGGTGGGGAACGTGCAGGAGGCAGGCGATCATGCTCCACTCTCACATCAATGTTTCTCTTTCTCTCTCTCTCTAAAAATAAAAATATTTAAAAAGCAGGGAAAACAGGGACTATGGAATTTAATATATGAAAAAGAACTCTGTAACTATGAAGTAGTTGAAGACATAGTTAAATATAAAAGTAAAGGGCTGTTATGACCATGACCAAATGACATTTATAAAGTAGAAAGGGAAAAAATGAGTAATAGAAGTATTGACCCTAATTTAGAGAAGAAGCCAAGTTAAAAAATGTAAACTAATGTGAGTAGTGTGGGCAAGTGGTAAAAAAAGATTTAGATACTGAAAGGTGTGTCATAAGGAGAAAAAGTTCAGCAAAGGAAGGTCATGTGGAGGAACTCTTAAATAAAAAAGGCAACCATGGAATCTAAGTTGGTCATAGCAAATCTGATTTCAAACATTCTGCATATCAAATCATTTTGTTCTGATTTTTCATTCAGAAAATAGTCTCTGTTGTACCTATTTGTATCCACAACTCCTATAAAGTTGTCTTTAACATAGGAAAGGCTCAACTGTTTGTTGGTAATGATAATTTCATGAAATTTCAAAGAAAAGAAAGTACATTATAAAAACAATAGTAATTAACCATTCTTAAAGAATAAAAATATATTTATAAGTGGTCTTTGCCTATTTACTAGTATCAGTAGGAAACTAGAGTCTGGAAGATCTGTTTAGCTTAGAAAATTGGTACCATACTCACCTCTGCTGATAACATCAGTGCTGGGTGGGGATGAAGCCATAATCTGCCAACATCTGAATCATCCTTGCCAGGTTAGGGGGTTCTGCAGAGAAGTTACTGCTACCAGGTCTGACTGCCATAGCTCAGGAAAATGCTGCAGTCATTCCTCTTAGTGTAGAATACACTTGGGAAGAAGTTTGAGAGACCTATGTAATATTAAGCCCCAGAAAGACAGCGTTAGTGATGGTTTGGACATGGAATGTAAGAGCTAACAGTTGTGGAATGCCTACTGTTTCAGGAACTGATGTATTACCTTATTTGATGCTTTGGACAACCCGATGGGGTAGAGGAATTGTTATTAATCCCATTTTATAGGAAACCTAGGCTTAGCAAGGTTAAGAAATTGTTCAAGATAACAAAGGTAGTAAAGTACATGGCAGAGCTGGGATTTGAACCCATGCCGTCCGGTACCTCAGGGTGCGTATATTCCTAACCACAATGCTACAGCTACATTCAAACAGGCTGGGAGGAAAAATCACTTTTCTAAAAAGGGCACACTGATTCTCTCAAAAGTGATCTGTGTTCATTTGATCCTATATTAACTGCTTAATCTTAAACTCAGATTCCAAAAAGTTAGACTGGCATTCACGTGCCAACCTTAAGTAATAGTAATCCCACTTTAAATCTTTAACATCCATAATATTTTACAACTTACAATAGTGAAAGTGGACAGTCTCTTAGTCTCCAAGACAGTGAAAAATGGGGATAGTGCATTCCCTCCCGATGAAATGACAAAGAAATACATATAAACGTCCTAATTCATTTATTGGAATTACTTGATTTCAATGAATTGCTTAAAAACAATCTAATAAAATAGGTCACTTTAAAAAAAAATCAAGTGCTGTGGGCATATCGGCAAGTTTCAATGTATTTCCTGACAAAGAACTTTTTTATGTTTGCTACATGACTCAGAATCACCTAAATCCACATGACATTATCAAGTCCACATAAATCGTGGCTTTTCCTCTAACTTACTCTTTTATGTATCAGTATCCATTTACATCTTAGTGTATCACTTCGTCTTTTGGTGAAAGTTTCGTCTCATTTCATCAGACGATTAAAAAAAATTTCAGTTTTCCTTCCTCTTTTTAAATGGATGAAATTTTTACTACGGAAGCTGTTGCTACACCACCAAATACCAGTGTCACTATTTAAAAGTAGACCACCCCCAAAACGGAATTACCGATAAAAAAACGTCAGGTTCGGATCGGCTCCCGCCCCGAAAGGGGGGGGGGGGGGGGGGGGCTCGCAGACATTCAATTGGGAGGGCCGGGGGGAGGGGCGGTCGGAAAAAGGAGTGAAAAAGGAGTGATTGATTCAAGTCGTAGCTAAACATTCCCTGCGCCACTTACCCAGCGCAAAAAAAAAAAAAAAAAAAGGAAAAAAGGGGGGGTGCGTGCTGGACTGTATTTTCAGCGGGGGCCCTGCGGGGTGTGCGGGACCGGGTGAGAGCCTGCCGCCGGGACCCCGGTGCCAAGGAATCAGGGCTGTACCAGAGTCTCTCGTCATCCTTGTGGGGGCCACACAGGGTCAGGCCTTCCCGCCCGCCAGCAGGCCCCC